TACCTAAAAGAGATCGAAGAAAAAGGAAAAGCTTCTATACATGCAAAAAAAATATATGTAGTAGCTCTTTTTCATGGGGGCAAAAAACAGGAAACCATGGGGATGTCCATCAATTGAGAAATGGCTGAATAAATGTGGTGTGTGAATTTGATGGAATATTAAGTTGTAAGAAATGATGAGATGGGCAATTTCAAAAAGTCATGAGAAGACATATGAACTGATGCAGAGTGGAGTAAGCAGAGACAGAAAAATAATTTATAACATCAGTATTACAAAAATAGGGCAGCTGGGTGGCGCAGTGGATAGAGCACCAGCCCTAGGGACAAGAGGACCTGAGTTCAAACCCAACTTCAGATACTTACCTTCTGTGTGACCCTGGGCAAGTCACTTGACCCCCATTACCTCTAAAACCAAAAAAGAGAGACAGAGAGAGAGAGAGAGAAGTAGAAGGGGTGTTACAGTTGTTGAGTATTCATGAACTTTCAGAGGAGGTCTTTGTATTATTAGATTTATTTAATTGTTTTATTTTGTTACAAGAGACCTCCCACAAAGTCAGAGTAACCGATATTTGTAACATAAAGAGTGCATCAATAAAACTTTTTAAAAATTAATTTTTATAAAAGAATGAATCTAAAGTTGAAAGATTAAGGAGTATGGAGCAAAGAAGAGAAATATTTGGAGTCAGATAGATCACTGGGTCAGCATCTAATGACACTAGACCCAGCCAGCTGTTGGAGAAGTAGACATGGAGTCATGAAGACAAGTGTTCAACTAGGGCTTCAGATACTTAATAGCTCTGTGACCCTGGGCAAATCACTTATCTTCTATTTACCTCAGTTTCCTCATCTGTAAAATGGGGTAATAATATTTGTGAAGCTCTTTGTAAACCTTAAACCATTACATACAGCATAACTATTATTATTATTCTTCATTATTTCAGAGATGTTACCACATCTGCCAAGAGGTAGAACTGGACCCACCAGCCAGCCTGCCTATCAAGCTAATGGGCCTAGAAGAATGTTCAATCTTCCACTGTTTCAACAGCTACTATTCCCTCCTTAACATGAGCTGTCATTTCTTCAAACAATTTCCTAATTTAGCTTGTCAAAGGTGGCGGTAGAGGGGCACAAGTGGGACAACAAATGGAAGGACAGAGTTGAAAGTACAGCAAAAGTCAAGGGATAGAGGCTGGCTCCCCATGTGACCAAAGGACCATAGATTTGGAACTGGAAGGGATTTTAAATTCCATCCAATCCAACCCTCCCCCCTTTTTATAGCTGAGTAAACCAAGACACTGAGAAGTTAAGTGGTCTGCCCACCTCATAAGTGTCTGAGGGGGAGATTTAAACCCAAGTCCTTTTGACTCCATATCCAGTGCCCTATCCACTATCACAGGGAGGCATCTTATGAGTTTTAACTTATTTCATAACCAGTGGGAAGGAAGCTTGGACATTATCTTGTCTAATCCTCTCACTTTACACGCAAGAAAACTGGGGCCCAGAAAAGTGGCTTCCTAAAGTCCACACATCCAATTAGTAGTAGAGCTAAGAGAAGAATCCAGGCCTCTGATCTCTGGGGAAGATAACCTGAAAACAATGATGTACAAACAAGACACACACACACACACACACACACTCAGGCACTCACACATGATAAATTTCAAATTACCTCAGAGGGAAGACCCTAAGAAAAAGGAGAAAAGTAGGACTGGGGATAGGCTTCTTGTAGGAGGGAATTTAGCCGGAACTTGAAGGAAGCCAGACAAGCTAGGAAGTGGACATGAGGAGAGTTACAGGCATGGGAGACAGCCAATGAAAAGGCGAAGAGGAGGGCAGGATAATAAGCTTTTATATAGCAGTAATTATTTACCAGGTGCTTTACAAATATTATATCATTTGAGCCTCACTACAACCCTGCAAAGTAGGTGCTATTATCACCCCCATTTTACAGTTGAAGAAACTAAGGCAGGCAGAGGTTAAGTAACCCAAAGCCACATAAGCTAGTAAGTGTCTCAGGCCATATTTGAACTCAAATCTTCCTGACTTCAGGCCCAATGCTTTTATCCATTGACTCAACTGATGGAAGGTCTTGAGTGAGGGAAAGCAAGGAAGGTGCTTTCATTGGACTATAGAGTACTGAAAAGGGAGTAAGGTATAAGAAGATTGGAAAGGTAGGAGGTGACCAAGTTAGCTTTAAAAATCAGAGGGGGGCGCAGCTAGGTGGCGCAGTGGATAGAACACCGGCCCTGAAGTCAGGAGGACCTAAGTTCAAATCTGGCCTCAGACCAAACACTTGACACTTACTAGCTGTGTGACCCTGGGCAAGTCACTTAATCCCAACTGCCTAAAAAAAAAAAATCAATCGGAGGATTTTATATTTGATCCTTGAGGTGCTAAGGAGCCCCTGGAGTTTACTGAATTGGGGGAAGGGGTAACGTTGTCAGAGCTAGAGGAAAGAGTGGGGACAGACTTGAAGCAAGGGAGCTAATTAGAAGACTATTGAAATAGTCCAAGCATGAGGTGGTGATGTGGCCCTGAGCCAGTATGGTGGTAGTCTCAGGAGAGAGAAGCAAATATATGAGAGATATTACAAAGGTGGATTTAACATGATCCATAAGCCAGTTCAATATATAAATATGTTTTCTTATTCATTCATTGCCAGGAGACAGCTGAGCTTTCTGTGGTTGCTAGCCTTAAATATTTATGAAGTGGCTTATCCTGGCCAGTCAAGGTGGATAGCATGTGGGGATCTAGTCTCACTATTGTGTACAGAAAAAAACTAAGAGCTACCCCGGGCTCCTGAGCGATTCAGCTTGTCTAGCCTATCCAGAGAGAAATCTAAACTTCAGATTGCACTACCACTCCAACTCATCTGCTGATAACCATAACCAGTTCCTTAAAGGGAAAGGAAAAGGGAAACAAAGTTCCTCTCAGTATTTTCACGAACTTCCATTATCCCCAGAGCCCAGTCTTTCCAAATTGGCCTAGGTTGTATTGGAAAGGGCCAATTAGCTTGTATAAGACTGTTGCCTATAAATCATGGGACATCCAGCAAATAGCCATGATGTAAGAGCTTGTGAGAGGAAAGGAAGGGAGGCAGAGTAAGGAACAAAGTTTGAGAGAAGTAGACCAGTGCTTGGAGGAGAAGGGAAAGTAAAAGGAGCAGAGGCCTGACTCACAATAGAATTTTTGAGCTGGGTGGGAACCTTTGAGATAATCTAGTCCAATTCTTTTTACAGATAAAGAAATTGAGACTGAAGTTGTCAATCAAACAATGACAGTTTTAAAGGAACCCATTAGAGAGGGACACAATGCTAGGTACTAGGGATAGAACCAAAAAAAAAATTTAATAAGCATTATTACGCGCCTAATAAGTTCCAGGCCCTTTGCTAAGCACTAGAGATATAAAGACAAGAGTAAAACAGTCCTTGTTCTCGAGAAACTTGCATTTTAATGGAAGAAAGAACTCAATATATGTGTAAAATATATATTTTAAAATACATAAATACAAAATAATGGTGAATTACAATAATAATTTTCCACAGCTATTTCTTGGAAGAAGCTAGGCAAAATCCCAGGTATTCTAACTCTCAGTCCCCCCAATGCTTTTTTAACCACTACACCAAGATGGGTTTGGGGCCTGTACTTTCTATTTCTCCAAATCTTCACCTTTCTCCTCTTTCCCTTCCATTACAAAAGACAACAAATCTTAGATCAGCTAAGGTATTTTCCAGTCCAGTGGGAAACAAAGAGAAGCCTAAGGCTGAGTCCCTGGTCCTTAAGGAGTATGTTGAGAAAAAACAAGACTAACTCAAGTTAATTTTCACAATTAGAGCACAAGATAAGACAGAATAGCATCGTGTGCTTTTAGGAGGGGTAGAGAAAAGGGAGAAATTGCAGAAATAGAAGGCAAGAGAAAATTTCCGAGGGAGTTGGGTCTTGATTAAGGGAGAGAAAGGATAATTTCTCCCTTTTCCCAAGCTCCCTAGCCTCATCCCTCAGCTGCAAACAAACAAACCAACCCCCAGATTTTAAAGAACACATGAGCCTAGAAACTAGATAGATAAGTAGTCTCTACTTTCGGTATCAGCCTTGTATCTGTAAGGTTGCAGGAGAAACTTTTGTATCCAGCCACATGTCCTGCATTCATAGGACTCTCATGGAGGCCAAGTGACAGCACTCCATATAACAGACAACGTGGACTGAGGATGCTTTGAGAGTTGGTTTAAGCAAGGCTGCTCTGTGGTCACAAGTGCTTCTGAGAGCTGGCTTTGTACCCAACCCCAGACAAAAGGGCTTTAGGGGATTGAAGGGAAAATGAAAACAGTTTTTGCCCCTAAGGCACTAACACTCTCTTGGGGGGGGAAAGATTTAGACATAAAATGCTTAGTTGACAGACTGATAGATCTGTGAGCTTAACAATTAGTTATACAAACCAGCATTTTAGTGCCCACCATGTACCAGGCATAATAATAAAATCATTTATAGAGTCTACTATGTGCCAGGAATTGTGTTAAGCACTTTACAGATATTATTTTATCCTGACTACAAACAGTGCAAATAGATGCTATTATTACCCCCATTTCACAGATGAGGTTAAGTAATTTGCCCAAGGTCACACAACCATACAGTGTCTGAGGTTGTATTTGAACTCAGGGCTTCCTAACTACAAGCCCATCAGCACGCTATGGGGGATAGAAAGCGAGGGTGTTGAGATTCAGGGGTTTAGGGGTGCTGGGGCCTGAAAGAACTCAACCCAAGCCTTCTTTCAGGCAAAGACAAGGTTTATTAAAGATCTGCTGTGTTAGCCAGACTCTTAAGGAGTTTGAGCACCTGTGAGTTATTGTTGGCTAGCTTGTAAAAATCTGAGCACTGGCTAGAATCTGAGCATCTTAACAGAGACAAGATGGACCTTATATACAGAAAGACTATGGGAGGGATCTAGGAGGGGCCAAGTAGTCTATGAGGTAATAGAATGCCAGGGACCTGGACTACGGTGGCCAAGGGAGAAGGGAGCCCAGCTAGAATTAAGGGTGGGAGGTGGCCTTGGGCCATAAGGAGGTAAGACAATAGAGAGCTAGGCTAGGTTAGGTGTAACAGAATTGGGAGATTGGGTGTAGCCACAATGAAAGGCCAGTTGATGGGATTATAGCCTCAGGCAAATGTCAAAGATTTGGCTGTGTGGGGAAAGTCCAGGATTTTACTTTTCAGGGTCTAGATCCCATCCTCATCAGTATTGTGTAGGACAGCGACCCCAACCCAAATTAAACTCAGAGACTTCTCAAGGTGAAAAGCAAATGTTACCTTTATTACAATCTTGGGAGATGGATGTCTGCCCCTCCGATACACGTGGAGAGAAAGAAAGACCGCCTAACAGGGGCGGCCTTATAAAAGCAAATCTCCGCCCGCCACTATGCCTTACTCCCTTAACTGGGGGTGGGCTTACATTCTAAGCTTGAAAGTTTCTTCCTATCCCCTTAACCGGGAGGTGGGGCTTACATTCCAGGCACGAAATTCAAAGCCAAGGACAAACGGCTCAGGTTGGGGGTGGGGCAGGGCTTATTCTTTTTGTTAAGTACTTAAAAACAGGGTCTGAGGGGGGGGGAGGATTTTGAAAGTAGTAATCAGAAATTATTTGACCCTTTGAGGAACCTTCACTTCTGAGAGTTCATTTCTCACACTACCTTCTGAACTCATTACCTTAATTACACTGAGAAGTCTTCACTGGGACATCCCATTCAGTACGATGGCTGGATTGGGGGGACATGTTGAAGACAAGACCATTTAGCAAGTTACTACAGTTGTCTCCACCATAGCTTTCATCTGCTTTGAATGTGATACCTTGGAAAACCAACCCAACATAGCAACCTCCTTACCCAAAAAAGTTCTCCCAAGTATACCTCCTCAGAATGAACACAAGCAAGATTTTATATCTGTTCATAAAGACACACAAGGTAACAAGGAAACAAGCATTTATTCAAATACTTACTATGTGCCAGGCTTGGGATGAAGTGCTAGGGAGGCAAATACAAGCAAAAGAAAGACACTTCCTGCCTTCAAAGACCTTACATTCTGACTGGGGAAGGGAGCTCAAAAGGGTGGGGGGAGAAGGTCAGAGTATGGACAGTCAGAAGCAGAACTAAAAGATGAATGCAGGTTGGCTAATCAGCCCCTTCCTCAAAATGGAGGGCCCTGTAGTAGAAAATCACCGAGGGGAGAAGGGGGAAGGGCACTGTGGTGGGATGGTTCAAGTTGAGAAATGCCTGAGGGAAGTTCTGGGTGAGAAGACAGCTGTGAAACACTTGAGGTTAGCATCTTTTATTATTGGCCCAGCTGCTACTAATTAGTGACCATTAGTGCAACGCCAACAGTAATGCATGAAAGAGAAAGAAGCCTAAAGACAAACCTCCACTCTGTTACCTGCTCTTCTAGATTCTGTTTGTGTTGGCAGAGGAGGGAGGAAGTGTAGAGGATGAGAGCGGGGCTCTTGTGTCTGGCAAGTAAAAACCAGGAGCATTTATCACTTATGGCTCCTAAGGCTGGGGCCAGAGTGCATGGAACTGTTTGGTAGGGTAACTGCTCAAATCAGTGAGTATATAGTTTGTTTTATTATATTTTAAAAGTTTTATGGATGGTGCCTTTTGTTTTAAAAATCATTTTCGTGTCCAAATGTGTCTTTCCTCTTGAGCCTTCCCTTGTAACAAGAGTTTTTTCATTTTATAGATAAGAAATAAGCTCAAAGGAGAGAAGTGACTTGCCCAAGGTCACTAAGGCAGTAAGCGGCTGAGCTGGGATTCAGACTTCTCTCATCTAAATTCCCGGTATTCTTTTGGCCACTCCATAAGCACAAAACTATCCCAACAGATGATCGTAAACCTTTTGCAAGATGGCAGGATAGATGTGATATAGAACGGAAGCCCTCAACTCAGCTGTGAGTCATATCCTCAAAGTTCATTTCAGGTTTTGGAATCTGAAACGTGCTTTTTATCCATAGAAAGTTCACCTTATACCACACAGAAAGTCCTTCTGTAGCTGAATTAAGTGTGCGTTTATGATGAAAAAGATAGAACACAATAGTTGTAATAATAGTAACTGAACAAAATGAAAACAGGTTTTTTTTAATTGACAGTTGGTACTAGACAAAAAAAAGTTGAAATTTTAAAAAATCAAGAAGACAGAAATTCTGAAAGGTACCTCTGACTTCTTTCTAGGGGTTTTGAGTTTTGTGTCACTGGTTCTTAATGCCATCCACTGGAATTTTTCAACTTTCATCTCCCTTGATCCAAGTATACCATGAATACTAATTGTATTTATGTAGCCATGATTACGGTTGTTTTTTGGACTCAGAGCTGAAAGGAGGATGGAAGAGAAGACCAGAGGACAGACAGCTATCCTCTACTTCTAAAGGAGAAGGGAAGATTAAAAACCATAAAGCCATTCTCTTCCTTTGACAGATGAGCCAATCAAGCCTCTGAAAGATCATTTTTTCCCATGTCTTTTCTGGGACCACTCTTGATGATTATAATTATTCAGCGTTCAGTTTCATTTCATTATTCTTTCAGTTCTCATCGTCATAGTTTTCCTGGTTCTCCTCACTGTATTCTGCATCAGTTCATCATGCAAACCCAGGATTTTCTTAATATTTGTCGTGTCTTACAACACAATAATACTCTATTATTCTTATTTATCACAATCTGTTTAGCTGTTCTTTGGGCTTTATTTAAGATGGAGGGGAGAGAAGATTGACTATAATATTTGGGGATTTTATGTGGATTTCATTTTTCTTCTCTTTTCTTATGCCCCATGACCACGGATCACCAAAGTGGTGTCACTACATCAGCCAAATGTCAAATTTTAACCCCTGTACAGCCCAGAAAGTCTCATTTTGGATTCCTCATCCTCAACTAATATCTATATGACATTAAGATAAAAACTGAAAAAAAAAGTTATGTCCACGTATATACAAATAACTAATATACCTGACAACAGAATGTAAATTTTAAAAGATTTCATTGAATAATGGGCAGAATCTAATGAGATAGAATTAGTCAGGGATAAATGTAAAGTTCTAAGCTTGGGTTCAAAAGGGGCAACTTCTCAAGAAAGAGATGGCGGAAGTATAACTGGACAACATTTTGTGGGAGAAAAGATCACATTTTAGGAGGAAACGAAATAAGCTGAGGAGTGAACTGTCTTGTGAAAGGTCGCACAGAACTGGGATTCCAACTAAATCCACTACCCCATACATTCTGGCCCCTTCATTTGCTAGATAAGGAATCTGAGACCCAGAAATGAGTTGCCCAAGGTCATACAACTAGTTAGTGGCAGAAACAAATGGGACCAGGGTCTCCAGAAGCTGAGGCTGATCGCAATCATGCATTGTTTGTTTAGCCACGTGCCTGAGGTAACCGTTGGTGAAACTCGTCAGTTGGTTTAGAAACCAGGTGGGGCATTCACTCCACCTCTCCCAGGAGATTATCATTATCTCTACCTAGGAACAATGGGTGGAGTTTGCAACTCCTCCACCCCAACCAACCCCCACCCACAACCCCACCTCATCCCAAGAGAATAATAGCTTACTTAGTAGACTCTTAAAAGTATCTTACTGAAAATTCGCTATTATTTGAAATAAAGTAGTATGAGTCTTCCTTGTGATTAATCTAGTTAGGGATGTCAGAGCTAAACTGGGTGGAGATGATTGCACAACAGCATTTTAAATGGCTGCAAATACTTGGGAAAGGGGTGAGAGTTGTTTCTTTTTCTTTTAAAAATGATTCCAAATATGTAGGTCTGGAATAAGTCCCAAAGAACTTCTAGCCTGGTACTTAAGTCTACAAGAAACAGTGTTCTCCAGTCTTGTTCTAAGTAGTAGTCCTCTCACCCTTATCTCACTGAGCCACGGATTGTTTATTCAGATGATTTCTGGCCTTATGCCCAAGGGCAGAGCTACTAGGCAAAGAAACTTTTCCCAGAAACCCTTGGAAGGAACAGACAAGATTGCAAGCCAGAGCATCTCAAACCTATGCAGGCTGTACAGCCCAAGCCATTTCTGATCTTTACAGGTATGCTATAATGGAAAGAACCCCGGACTTGTAATCAGAAGACATGGGTTGGAATTGTGAGTTTGCTGCTTCCTACCAATGTGATTTTTGGCAAATTACTTAATATCTCTATGCCTCAGTTTCCTTGTTTGTGAAGTGAAGATATTAATATTTGTACCATGAAGCTCACCGTGCTTTTCCTAGGATTAAAATGATTAAAGTGATAATGGAAATAAAACAGATACACACACACATATATAATATAGTATATTAGCTATTATTACAACATTAGTCTACTCTTGAAAGGTGAACCTCACTTTATCCAACTGTCAGCTTCCTGGAAAAAATAAACTCTTGTTACTTATGTTTCCTTACCTAAAAATGAATGTATTGGACTAATTGCTCTCCAAGGTCCCTTCTAGCTCTGACAGTCTGCAATTCCATTCTATATTTCAAACGCACTAGGGGAATAAGCTAATTTAAAAGAATCTTATGTAAAGCAAGTAATTGGTGATGTACTTCATTCAAATAATTCGGGAGCAATTATTTGAATTATTGAGTACTCAGGGGCTCTGACTGCTAGGTCCATGCTGCCCAGCCGTGTTCACAATTTGGCTGCTGTGCTCACTTTCTCCTCACACCCTGTTTGCACCCTACAGAGTAGCATGACCAGCCTCCCAAGGATACACCAGTGGCTTCTTTCTCTGCTTTCCCCGAGGACTCCTGCTAACTTCGGCCCTGGGTGGAAGAGCCAATGAGTCAGACGCCTGTACTTCATCCCAGCAGTCCCCTGGAGCCCCATGAAGCAGACACTCCCAGAGGAGCCTCTATTATGGGGTGTGCACTGAGCCACCTGCACACTCTTTGGCTTTCATGACCCAATACAGCTCTCTCACTCCACTGTCCTGACATTTGGTTCTTTTCCTTTGGCATCAGCTCTGTCTGTGTATTTGTGCCAGTTATCTCTCATTCCAAGGAATCATTCAGGGCAGAGGTTCTTAGCCTGGCGTTTATCAGTCCTGGGGGTCCGTGGAGAGATTTCAGAGGTATATGAACTCAGATGGAGAAAAAGCATATGTTTATTTTTATTAACCTTTGGTTTCCTTTGTAATCCTACAAATTTTATTTTATACATTTACAATCATTATTCTCAGAAGGGGTCAATAGCTTTCACTAGAGTGCCAGAGGGGTCCAGGACTCACAAAAAAAGGTTAAGAATTCCTATGCTAGGTGGTGTAGTGGATAGAGTACTGGCCCAGACTCATGAATATATGAGTTCGAATCTTCCCTCACACACTTACCAACTGGGTGACCCCAGGCAAGTCGTTTAACTTCTGTCTGCCTCAGTTTCTTCAACTGTAAAATATGGATAATAACAGTATTTACTTGTTATTTGTAAAGCACTTAGTCTAGGTGCCTGACACATAGTAGACTTGTTCCCTCCCTCCACATATTTGAATGTAAGCAACTTATCCTTCAACCCTATCTGTGCTTCTGTAAGAAGTACCATTCATCTATCCATAACCACTGAAGCAAACTGCATGAGAATTCAGGCAAGCAAACACCAAAAAGAATAGGTCAATGATGAGATAAATTCCCTAGAATCAGCTATTCACTGCTTATCTGACTTGGAGGCCATTTGCTTTTTCCCTGAGGACAAGGCCCCTTCACTTGTTACAGCTAATTACCTGGCTTCAAAAGATTGTTGAAACATTTCATAAAATAAATACTTTTGTTCCCTAATTTATCTGCCCAGTCTACCCAGATTTTTGTGCATTCACTTAACTTGCCCATGACATTATAGAAGTTTCTTTGGACTTAAAGTCATAAATCCTGGGTTCTGGTCCCAGGTGTGTCTTTCATCCTATTCTTGTGACCTTGATCATGTCAACTTCTTGGAGCCTCAGAAGGCTTATGGGGAAAATGGATGATACTAGTAATTAATACTGATACCACCCACTTCAAAAAGTTGTTATGAAATTGGTAAAGTTTATTTAAAAAGTGCTTTGTAACAACAAATCAGTATGTAAATGTAAGTTATTATCGTTATGATCATTACAGATCAATATATCAGATAAGAGTTTGGAGATCTGAGGGCTTTTAAATGACTTTCCTAAAATCCCATTGTAAATACATATCAGGGGTAGGATTTGAAATCAGGTTTTCCTGACTCCAATTCCATCACTTTATTCACTATGCCAGGTTGCCTCTCTGTGTTATTTATGGCAAATGTATTCCAAGCATACTTGGGATCACTTGCTTTGAAAAACCATGTTGTTTTTCTGTGTTTATATATGTACACCTTGCTTCTCCCTATGAAGTCTAAGATCTTGAAAGGCTGGGGCTGTGTTTTGACTACATGTTAAAAATTCCTCTCACGGTGCCCAGAAGAGTGCCATTCCCACCCCCCACCCCACCATGGATCCTCAGAAAAAAGATGTTTTTGATGATGTCAGCCTCCATTAGTAGAGTGTACTTGTAGCAGAGGAGGTTGGGGGTGGGGAGGGGTGAAATTCAGGCACAGTGGGGCTTTGTGCTAATCATCAATGCAAGGTATACTAAAAGCCAGGCACAAGAGAGGCTCAAGGTTTCAGTGGAAGTGAGTTTACTTAATGGGGATGCTGGACCCCAGCCTGAAGTGAGTTCCTGACTGGCAGAGAACAAAATGCTAAAAGCACCAGGCCTCTCTGAGCTGGCAGATGTTCATGACTGGAGGCCAGCCCGATGGAGTTTCACCAGAGTAAGGCTTGTTTCTCTTTCCCAGGGCCTAGCTACCCTCTGTCCCAGGGGATACTTCATTAGCATCCTCAGCATCTTTATTAACAGACTTGTGTAGGGAGGGTACTAGGGTACTAGGCAGAGCCCTGTGATACAAAGGCAAAGTACCAGCCCTCAATGGGACTTGCCATTAAATTGGGGAGAGAGAGGTAGCATGATGTCATGGAAAGAAGGCCAGATTAAGTGTCTGAAGATGTGGCTTCAAATCTCGTCTCTGTCACTATTTGAGTCATCTTGGGCAAGTTGCCTAACTTCTTTGGGACTCAGTTTTCACATCTGTAAAATCATGGGGTGGGACTAAATGATCTCTGAGGTCCCTTTTAGCCCTAAATTTATCACCCTATGACATATACCCCTCAAAATAAATCAAGGTAGCATAGGCTGGATGGTAAATGAATGATACAGACAGTACAAGATAGAGACATATTCAAAAGAGGAAGAAATTCTCCAAAGCAGGGCCATTCCTGGCTGGGGAGATTAAATTTGACCCAAATCTTGAAGTACTTAAACAAAGTGAGGAAGAAAGGCCTTCCAGGCTGACTTTAGAAGGCCTGAATCTACATGTCCTAGTCTAGGAGTTGTGAGTAGACCAGGAAAAAAAGAAAAAAAAGGTTCATCCTACTACCACCAAAGTGACCACTGCTACTGTAGTTGAGGGACCCACAGATTTAACAAAATAACAACATACATTTATTTATACAGAGGGGTAATGTGGAACAGTGGTTAAATTACTAGAAGTGGACACAGGATCCTACCTCAGATCCTGAGCAAGTCTCTGAATCACAGTTTCCCAGTCAGTAAAATAGCATCTACCTTGAAGGGCTTTTCTGAGGATGTCCTCTCACATGTTATCATGAAGGCCAAATGAGATCATCTATATGAAGAGTTTTGAAAATTTTAAAACACCATCTAAATGGGAGAGATTATTTATGGTGCTTAAGTACTTTAGGTGTGTTATCTCTTTTGATCCTCACGACAATCCTGTGAGATAGATGCTTTGTTATCCCCATTTTTCAGATGACCAAAAGAAAGCCTGGAGAAGTTAAGTGATTTGCCCAGGATCACACAGCTAATAAGAGTCTGAGGCAGTATTTGAACTCAGTTCTTCTTGACTCCAGGTCTAGCTCTCTAGCCACCTGCCCTAATTGTGCTTTCTAATTACTGGTCATTTGCATATACATTAGGAGCTAACAGTTTCATTGAAGAAGACCAAATATATGAAACAGCATTAGACAGTAGACAAAAATAATCACCAACATTTTTTTAGAATTTTAAGATTTGCAAAACACTTCACACATTCTGCCATTTGAGCCTCCAGCTTGTAAAACAGCTGTTATTGACACTCTCTTTCCATTTTATAGATGAGGAAACTGAGACTTGGAGTGTCTGAATGATTTTCCCATGGCTGGACAACTGTTAAATATCAGAGGCAGAATTTGAACCCAGGTCTTCCAGACTCTCAGTTCAGCACTGTATCCCTTAGTACTCCAGACAAGTGCTACTGAAATTCGGAGAAGGGAGAAAGCAGTGTTGCCTGGTATGGTTAGGAAAAGGCTCACAGAGGAGGTAGGATTGGAAGGGAAAGTATATTGAGCTTGACTAGCTGGAATAGACCAATAGAAGCCATTCTGGGTTTTAGAATATCCCAGGCCAAGGCAAATGGTCAGGCTTGACCATTCCAGGAACATTGATGGGACCATGGAAGAGATTAAGGCGTTAAATCTTTACATTCATCACAAAAATAAACTCTTTGTTTCTTGGTCTAACTGGAAGACACCTTCAGAGATAACTCTGCTGCAGGCAGCAGTGACCTTGCAAATTGGGAGTCCCCACAGTTTATCCAAGGATATTTGAATGAGTCTGTCCTCTAGCTTAAGCTGAACCATAATAGCACAGGGCATTTCTGAAGCACTTTCACAAAGATTTTTTTTTCATTCATTCAACAAACGTTCATCAAATGCATACTCTGTTCAAAGCACTTTCCTATATGCTATGAAAGAGAGAGATGAAGTCATGGTTCCTACTCTTACCCACCAAATGACTATTGTCTTTGAGTAGTTAAGAAGACTACAAAAATAACTATAATTCAGCATAACATATGAATTCCCAAGCTTACAAATGAGGACCTATAGGTGTTCAGAGGAGGGAGACATTGCTTTTGGCTGGAGGGAAGAAGGCTTCATGAAGGAGCTGCCATTGAATTGGGCCTTGAATGATAAGTGGGATTTCCAAAGGCAGAGATGTGGAAAGGTCATGTAAATTTGTGGGGCAGGGAGGGAGAGACACAAAGGAATAGAAAAGTATAGGACATAATGGGGAAAGAGCAAGGAGTCAGTCCAGTTTGGCTAGAAAGTAATGGAGTGGTAGAAAAGTGACACAAGGCAACATTAGGAAGGTTGATGGGGCAGAGATTTTGTGGGACCTTGAATATTAGGTTAAGCAGTTCAGACTTTATTTAGTAGGCAAAGGGGAACTATTAAAGATTCTAGAGTGAAATGATCAGAATTGTGCTTTAAGAAAACACATCTGGAAAAAATTATATGAGTTACAGAGGGGAGAGTCTGGAGACGAAAGAGTTAAATTAGGAGGAAATTTCAGTAGCCAAAGGTCATGAAGTTGATGAAGTAATGCTCTTTTAATTAGTAGTAAGAATGGAAATAAGGAAATGGATGTGAGAGATGTTGCACAATTATGTAAGAAGTAAAGAGAGGATGGAATCAAGAATAGCTCCATGGTTTCAAGTCTAAGTGAGAGGATAATGGTGCCATAGAAATCTAAAAGCAAGAACAGGCTGGCAAAGTTAATGAAATTTCATTTTGGAGAAGTTCAACAAGACGTGTAGGTGAGAATGCCAAGGGGGCAGCTGGAAATGCAGAACTGGAGTTCTGGCTGAAGACATAGATTTGGGAATCATCTGCAAGAAGGTGATGGTTTTGGAATTAGAATGAGGTTATTGAGAGAGAATTGGAGAAGAAAAACTGAAGAGGGCCAAGGACAGAGGCTTGGGAAACACTTAGACTTTGGTGGGAATTAAAACAGGAGACAAAGACAGATCTAGAGAATGAGCAAAGGTGGAAAAGAAACAAAATAATGTATTATTACTGAAGCTAAGGAAAG